TCTGTGGCTGCGAATTGATTCTTTACACCCATTAGGGAAATCTGATTAGAGGGAAATTAAGCAAATAATTCAGCACTTGATCTACCGCAAACGCAGCCGTCGCCACTTCCAGCTGAGGGTGGAAGTCGGTTCGACACAGTCTCATCTCCTCTGCCGTGCAGAACCACAGCCCCGATTCTCTTAAGGAGGGTCCCTGCACTTGCGTGATCGGTTGCATGCAATTTGGTTGCATGCAACTGACCAAATCGCTTATTTGCTGACGCCTCTGCAACTGGTCGCGAGCATTTTGGAGCGACAGGTTGCTTCAAGTGAAGACAGAGTCAACCTTTTGACAAATAAAACAAGCAGACAATATCTTCCTTCACATTATCAGTCCCTAAATGTGATAAATAAAAAGTCTGTTTAACACATCGCATCAGCCACACGGCCTTCTGGGAGTGCGTAATTTTAGTAGCATTGGTTCAACACAACCAAACTCTAGACCGGTTTTGACATTCAGTGTCTCATCAGCACAATCAGGCTTGCTTGAATCAATGCTTGTGAACTATTTATAAGGGTCCTTATTCGACACAAAGCTACACAATACACGACACTAAATAATCATTAGCGCCATTGCGGAGAATACAAGTTAAACAATTAACAAGCGGACGAAACGCGTCCGTCACATACCAGAAGGCCTTGCGGCTGATAGGGATGTGTGAAAATTACTTTCAAGCAATCAAATTCGGAAGCCGAGGTGTTGACGGGGCTTTTAGATGTTAATTACCTCGCCTGGTATATAGGAGATCGTGGGTTCAACTCTGATGCCTGTATATTAGGAGTTTCCATATTCTGTCTCCCTCCACATATAGAATCAACATCACACGTTTCAAGTATGTGCCTGCTATAAATTTCCACATGATGATAAGCCACTTCGTTGGGCTATCATTTGTGGCCAGGTCACTTCTGAAAAAATAAAAAAAGCTATATAGCTCGGTGGGCCTCACTTGGAAAAATAAAAAATAAAAATGTATAGTTTATAGATTTGTCCTCCTCGACGGAGGTGGCGAAAGAACCGCGATCGGCAGTGAGCGATGCGAGGGGCGGCCGTGGGGAAAGTCATTCGTCCACTCGCAATGTTGTTTTGCCCTTCGCCCGCAAACCTCCGATTAGCACGGCTGACTGCGTACGGTGCGAAAGAATTTCAACACAGACAATAAACCCACCCCTTAGAGGTTCGATACCGGCAACAGGGCCTTCGACTGCATTTCACACGATCCCACGCGACGACTACCGCTATTTTTAAACGAGCCGGCAAAGCAACACTTTGGTCACCGTGGAAGCAGCTCGGACGCACTACATCGGGGCACGGCAGGGAAAAATACGTGCGAGCTGGCGATAACGGTGTTTGCCATTTTAGGAGTGCCCCCGCTATCGTCCGTCTCGTCATATACGGTGCGTAAAACAGCCTCAGCGGACCGCAATCGACGCCGCCTAAGAGCCGTAGCCCGGGGTGATATGCTGCTACTGCTGCTGCTGCTCCTGCTGCTGCTCCTGCTACTGCTCCTGCTGCTGCTCCTGCAACCCGCGGGTCAACCTCTTATCAGAATCGTTGTTTATCCTGGAGGAATCCGAATGAAGCCACGAAGCTCTCTTTCGCAGATGTCCAGTAAGGGGCGGGTGAGAAAGTTACAACAACAACAGCAATAATAAACAGAACAAAAAAGAAAAGCAACAGACGAAAGGAACGAGTAAAAGCCTCGCGTGCGGCGATGAGGCCGGCGCAGTTTCACCGGAGTGGCCGGCGGGAAGACGCGGACCCGGTTACTGCCGGCAGATGTTCGGTATCCACCCCTTGAGCCTGCTCCAGACTTGAAACAGTTGTTGTTGTTACAAATAGATTGATGTGTGTGTGTGATCAGCGCGCATTCGTGCACGGTAACAAATGTTCTGCCTTACTAAAGGTGAGCCCTAATTATGTTTTGCGTTATAATTATTATTATTACCGCTACATAATCATTGGATAAAGTTACGGTGAATGTGTGGCACAGGAAAGGAAATGCAAAAGTTACATTTGTCGTCATGTCGACAGCAATCGCTGATGTCGTGAAGTCCAAACGTGCGACTTTGCTGTCGTGACGCTCGCACATCTATTGTTTCGTGTTCACGTCTTGTAAACCATCAGCGCGGGTTGGCGACGTACGGTGTGAAAGAAGTCCGCACACATGCATACGCACAGTCACCACGCACACAGTAGGCATCGTCATCTGCAGCAGCAATAGCCTTTAATAATTGTTTACATGCTTCAGGCCATTACATCTCAAAGTGCATACAAAGTGGTTTAAAATGCGAAACGAAAACAACAACAACAGCAACCGATTACCGTACAAAGAAAACACACAAATAAATACACTATTACAAAATAAGCATCGAGCATCCGTCAATGTTTATATATATATACACACACGCACACACCAACTAATGCAAACAAAACAGAGACAGGCTCGGACACCTTTTAGAATTCCTGGAGGTCTAAGTGACATTTCTCAAAGCTCAAAGAGCCAAAGGCACTTTCACGATTCTTAGTGGCTAATGTTATTGCCTGAGTCTCACCAAACCAGATTAAGACGCCCTTAGGACTCCCAGGGTTCAATGTGAATGCCCCAGACTCACAGAGCCAGGACTACGGCACCCTTTAATACTCTTCTTGGGGTTCCGTATAAATGCAGGGGCATCACAGCGACGGGAAACCCGCAGGAACCGCAAAAAATTCGCCAACGCGGCATTTCCTCGTGAAAACTAAAATATCCCGACTGAAGTTTTAAGGAACGCGCTTGGCCTCGGGTAAAAGGGTAAAGGTGTCGCCATGCCAAGGGGTAAGGTAAAGGGTAGGGTAAAGGCAGCGCGAAGCATTACCCGGTAAATACCTTAAATTTTGATTTAAAGCTTTCGTGACTGCAGGGATTCATATTCTTGGTTCTTTTGGTAAAGTCACCACGTAGAAGGGAAACAATAAAATCATAAAAATATAAAACAATAAAATTCTCACGACGTTTCGACTGCAACACAGGCAATCATCATCAGGTGTGAAAACCACAGCAAGAAAATTTGAAAAAAGTGGCGGTTTTTTATATTATGTTATTGTTTCCCTTCTACGTGACTTTACCGAAAGAACCAAGAATAGGTACATACCTTGCTTACCGCTCGCTAAAAGCTCCGTGGCACAGTCCGTGGCCTCCATTTAAAATTGGAATCATCGAGAGTCTTCTATATGAATAAAACGCTCTACCTAGCATTTACCTGTTACAAACCTTTTTTCATGTGTAGTAGTGCCCCAGTAATTACCCTGTGATCGGGTAATTTGTATGCGGTAAGGGTAAAAGGTAGGGTAAAGGTAGGCTCGTTGTTTTTACCTTTTACCTTACCTTGCCGAGGCCTAGAACGCTCCCAACGAAAAAGCGAACGGTCAAAACGAATGGGAATTTGCCAACGCGGAGTTCGTGGTGCGCGGCGTCGTCACGTTTCGCCGCAGCTCCGTCGGGGACAAAGCGGCAGCCCGCGGGCATGAATCTGCGATGCAACTTTCCCCGGGACGAGTCCGTTCGCGCCGTCGCCCTGCACGCAGCGGGCGAAGCCGAGGAGCTCGCGGTTCCCCGTGCACGGAATCTCATCGCACTCGCCGGGCGCAGTCCGTAACCCTCGGGCTCACGGAACGAATTTGCGAGATTTTGTAAAAAAAAAAAAAAAGTGATTTGATTTTTTTTTGTTATTCTTACATCAGTGTAACGACGCGACGTCGTCATTTGGCACGGGAATTCTCACCGCCTACCTTTGGTCAATTTTATCGCGAGGCTGCGAGTTCAAATTCCTCGCCGGGGGGGGGGGATATACTCAGCCCATCATCAATCGCTCCGGGGTCGATAAAATGATGGTTCAGCGTGGCCCGTCATCCCGGCAGTGAATTGGCCATGGCAGACGACGATGAATCTGGCTCAGCGGCAGAGCGAGTGGCTCGCAATCGGAAGGTCGCGAGTTTAAATCCTGGTTGCCGATGGGGGTTGACCCGACCCATCATCCCTCCCTCTGGGGTCGATAAAGTGAGTACCTCTGTGGGGGAGTCAACAGTGGTTGGCCTAGGACGTATTCGCCTCCACCACAGGAACGCGGTACTGCCACCACTGTCTCCAGGACTTTCGTAGATCGTCACTCTTCATGGACGTCAGGTTCCAATTGACATGGTAACTCTCACCACCGCCGTTGTCAATCCACTGCTGGATGAAGGTCTCCCTTCCCGTGCCGTGTCGCGGGGTGCCGATGACAGAAGAGAGGGGGTGGGGGCCGGGTGCAGGGTGACCCAGGACCGGTTCAGGCATCGCTCGCCACCGACGTAGGCCCACGGTCTGGAATCGAACCTCGGCGGCGCCAGGCTAGCAGCGCAGGACAACGAAGCACTGCGGCACCGCGAAGCGCCGAGCCCATTGCCTACCGCGCGATGGACCTGGACGCGTCCAAGCGAGTGTCACGTGCCGGAACAGCAATTAGCGTGATTCACACGGGCGCGCGCGCACGCTCCGCAATTAGCGTATTTACTAATGCCGTGAACCTATTTGGAGAGCGTCACCGCGACCGCTCTTGCTGCACAACATGCATGCCAGCCCTGGGGGGGGGGGGGGAGCAAATGAATGTTGCCACCCTGAGAGGCCTCCAGCAGCGGTGATCGAAGTGGGTTTAGTCTCGCTGGGTCAAATCTCTGTGCCTCTGTTCACCTCTCTGTCTGTCTCTTCTCGACGTTTCTCTATTTTTCTGCAGCTGTTCTCTACAGGCTTCTCTGCATCTGCCGCTGTATTTCGCCGCCTCTCCGCGTTTATTTCGACTTTTTCTCTCTGTCTTTCTGCCTCTATACTCTGTCCACGTTCCTTGGAGTGCGTCTCTGTGTTTCCCTCTGTCCGCGTCTCAAAATGTCTCTGCTTACATGCGTTTGTCCGTGCGTCTTTTGACATTTCTCTGCATTTCTCTCCTAGTGCCACCCCGACCCGCTGCCATTCGCACGCCGTGGATGCCCATCGCAGCTTCCTACCCTGGGCGATCTCAGTCGCCTTTGGCTGGCAACCCCTGAGGCCAGCTCTGCTTTCCACATGCGAAGGTATTCCACAACGACGAGGAACTCATTCATGTTCACACCGCAACAAAGAACACTTGTAACTCACCACCACCACAATGAGCATATGTAACTCACCACCACCACAAGAAACACATGTAACTCACCACCACCACAAGGAACACGTGAAACTCACCACCACCACAGGGAACACATGTAACTCACCACCACAAGGAAAACATGTAACTCACTACCACAAGGAACACATGTAACTCACCACCACCACAATGAACACATGTAACTCACCACCACCACAAGGAACACATGTAACTCACCACCACAAGGAACACATGCAACTCACTACCACCACAATGAACACATGTAACTCACCACCACCACAATGAACACATGTAACTCACCACCACCACAATGAACACATGTAACTCACCACCACCACAAGGAACATATGTAACTCACCACCACAAGGAACACATGTAACTCACCACCACCACAAGGAACACATGTAACTCACCACCAACACAATGAACACATGTAACTCACTACCACCACAAGGAACACATGTAACTCACCACCACAAGGAACACATGTAACTCACCACCACCACAAGGAACACATGTAACTCACCACCACCACAATGAACACATGTAACTCACCACCACCACAAGGAACACATGTAACTCACCACCACCACAATGAACACATGTAACTCACCACCACCACAATGAACACATGTAACTCACCACCACAAGGAACACATGTAACTCACCACCACCACAATGAACACATGCAACTCACCACCACCAAAAGGAACACATGTAACTCACCACCACAAGGAACACATGCAACTCACTACCACCACAATGAACACATGTAACTCACCACCACCACAATGAACACATGTAACTCACCACCACCACAATGAACACATGTAACTCACCACCACCACAAGGAACATATGTAACTCACCACCACCACAATGAACACATGTAACTCACCACCACCACAAGGAACACATGTAACTCACAACCACCACAAGAAAAACATGTAACTCACCACCACCACAAGGAACACATGTAACTCACCACCACCACAAGGAACACATGTAACTCACTAGCACCACAAGGAACACATGTAACTCACTAGCACCACAATGAACACATTTAACTCACCACCACCACAATGAACACATGTAACTCACCACCACCACAAGGAACACATGTAACTCACTAGCACCACAAGGAACACATGTAACTCACCACCACAATGAACACATGTAACTCACCACCACCACAATGAACACATGTAACTCACCATCACAATGAACACATGTAACTCACCACCACCACAATGAACACATGTAACTCACCACCATCACAAGGAACACATGTAACTCACCACCACAAGGAACACATGTAACTCACCACCACCACAATGAACACATGTAACTCACCACCACCACAAGGAACACATGTAACTCACTACCACAATGAACACATGTAACTCACCACCACCACAATGAACACATGTAACTCACCACCTCCACAAGGAACACATGTAACTCACTACCACAAGGAACACATGTAACTCACCACCACCACAAGGAACACATGTAACTCACCACCACCACATGGAACACATGTAACTCACCACCACAAGGAACACATGTAACTCACCACCACAATGAACACATGTAACTCACCACCACCACAATGAACACATGTAACTCACCACCACAAGGAACACATGTAACTCACCACCACCACAATGAACACATGTAACTCACCACCACAAGGAACACATGTAACTCACCACCACCACCACAAGGAACACATGTAACTCACCACCACCACAAGGAACACATGTAACTCACCACCACAAGGAACACATGTAACTCACCACCACCACAATGAACACATGTAACTCACCACTACCACCACAAGGAACACATGTAACTCACCACCACAAGGAACACATGTAACTCACCACCACAATAAACACATGTAACTCACCACCACCACAATGAACACATGTAACTCACTACCACCACAAGGAACACATGTAACTCACCACCACCACAAGGAACACATGTAACTCATCACCACCACAATGAACACATGTAACTCACCACCTCCACAAGGAACACATGTAACTCACTACCACAATGAACACATGTAACTCACCACCACCACAATGAACACATGTAACTCACTACCACAATGAACACATGTAACTCACCACCACCACAAGGAACACATGTAACTCACTACCACCACAAGGAACACATGTAACTCACCACCACCACAATGAACACATGTAACTCACCACCACCACAAGGAACACATGTAACTCACCACCACCACAAGGAACACATGTAACTCACCACCACCACAAGGAACACATGTAACTCACCACCACCACAATGAACACATGTAACTCACCACCACCACAAGGAACACATATAACTCACCACCACAATGAACACATGTAACTCACCACCACCACCACCAACACAATGAACACATGTAACTCACCACCACCACAAGGAACACATGTAACTCACCACCACAATGAACACATGTAACTCACCACCACAAGGAACACATGTAACTCACCACCACCACCACAAGGAACACATGTAACTCACCACCACAATGAACACATGTAACTCACCACTATCACAAGGAACACATGTAACTCACCACCACAAGGAACACATGTAACTCACTAGCACCACAATGAACACATGTAACTCACCACCACCACCACCACAAGGAACACATGTAACTCACTACCACAATGAACACATGTAACTCACCACCACCACAATGAACACATGTAACTCACCACCACCACAAGGAACACATGTAACTCACCACCACAAGGAACACATGTAACTAACTACCACAATGAACACATGTAACTCACCACCACCACAATGAACACATGTAACTCACCACCACCACAAGGAACACATGTAACTCACCACCACAATGAACACATGTAACTCACCACCACCACAAGGAACACATGTAACTCACTACCACAATGAACACATGTAACTCACCACCACCACAATGAACACATGTAACTCACTACCACAAGGAACACATGTAACTCACCACCACAAGGAACACATGTAACTCACCACCACAAGGAACACATGTAACTCACCACCACCACAAGGAACACATGTAACTCACCACCACCACCACAAGGAACACATGTAACTCACCACCACCACCACAATGAACACATGTAACTCACCACCACCAGAAGAATCACATGTAACTTACCACCACCACAATGAACACATGTAACTCACCACCACAATGAACACATGTAACTCACCACCACCACAAGGAACACATGTAACTCACCACCACAAGTAACACATGTAACTCACCACCACAAGGAACACATGTAACTCACCACCACCACAAGGAACACATTTAACTCACCACCACCACAAGGAACACATGTAACTCACCACCACCACAAGGAAACACATGTAACTCACCACCACCACCACAATGAACACATGTAACTCACTACCACCACCACAAGGAACACATGTAACTCGCACCACCACAAAGAACACATGTAAACTCACCACCACAATGAACACATGTAACTCACCACCACAAAGAACACATGTAACTACACCACCACCAATGAACACATGTAACTCACCACCACCACAAGGAACACATGCAACTCATCACCACAATGAACACATGTAACTCACCACCACCACCACAATGAACACATGTAACTCACTACCACAATGAACACATGTAACTCACCACCACCACAAGGAACACATGTAACTCACCACCACCACAAGGAACACATGTAACTCACCACCACAATGAACACATGTAACTCACCACCACCACAATGAACACATGTAACTCACCACCACCACAAGAAACACATGCAACTCACCACCACAAGGAACACATGTAACTCACTACCACAATGAACACATGTAACTCACCACCACCACAAGGAACACATGTAACTCACTACCACAATGAACACATGTAACTCACCACCACCACAATGAACACATGTAACTCACTACCACAAGGAACACATGTAACTCACCACCACAAGGAACACATGTAACTCACCACCACCACAAGGAACACATGTAACTCACCACCACAAGGAACACATGTAACTCAACACCACCACCACCACAATGAACACATGTAACTCACCACCACCAGAAGAATCACATGTAACTTACCACCACCACAATGAACACATGTAACTCACCACCACAATGAACACATGTAACTCACCACCACCACAAGGAACACATGTAACTCACCACCACAAGTAACACATGTAACTCACCACCGCAACGAACACATGTAACTCACCACCCCCACAAGGAACACATGTAACTCACCACCACAATGAACACATGTAACTCACCACCACCGCAAGGAACACATGTAACTCACCACCACCACAATGAACACATGTAACTCACCACCAAAATGAACACATGTAACTCACCACCACAATGAACACATGTAACTCACCACCACCACAAGGAACACATGTAACTCACCACCACCACAAGGAACACATGTAACTCACTACCACAATGAACACATGTAACTCCCTACCACAATGAAGATGTGTAACTCACCACCACCACAAGGAACACATGTAACTCACCACCACCACAATGAACACATATAACTCACCACCACAATGAACACATGCAACTCACCACCACCACAATGAACACATGTAACTCACCACCACCACAATGAACACATGTAACTCACCACCACAAGGAACACATGTAACTCACCACCACAAGGAACACATGTAACTCACCACCACAATGAACACATGTAACTCACCACCACCACAATGAACACATGTAACTCACCACCACCACAAGGAACACATGTAACTCACCACCACCACAAGGAACACATGTAACTCACCACCACCACAAGGAACACATGTAACTCACCACCACCACAATGAACACATGTAAC